GGCCCCCATGGAAGCAGGGATTGGTGCGACCAGTTAGCCACCCCTCCTGCCGTCTCCAGGGCCCCTGGGCCTCCTGCCATCTCCAGGGCCCCTGGGGGATGGATTTCCCTAGCTATTCCCTGCCCTACCAGCTCTGCCCACTTCATCTTTTCTGGCTGCTAAGGAAGGCTGCCCACAGGTGCGTGGGATTTCCTCTGCTTGCTATGCACACCTGGGTATGCCCTCTTTCTCATTGTGTTAAAATATACAGGACATAAATGTTACCATTTTAACAATTTTAAGCATACAGTTAGGCCAGGTTCAGTGGCTCATGCCTGTAATCCTAGAACTCTGGGAGGCCAAAGCAGGAGGACCACTTGAGGTCAGGAGTTCAAGACCAGCCTAACCAAGAGCAAGACCCCGTCTTTATTTTTTAAAAAATACAAAAATTAGGCTCAGTACCGGTAGCACAGTGATTACAGCACCAGCCACATACAGCAAGGTTGGCAGGTTCAAACCCAGCCCAGGCCACCTAAAACAACAATGACAACTGTAACAAAAAATAGCTGGGTATTGTGGCAGGCGCCTGTAGTCCCAGCTACTTAGGAGACTGAGGCAAGAGAATCACTTAAACCCAAGAGTTTGAGGTTGCTGTGAGCTGGGATGCCACAGCACCCTACCGAGGGGGACACAGTAAGACTCTGTCTCAAAAAAGAAAGAAAGAAAGAAAGAAAAAATACGAAAATTAGCCAGGTGTGGCAGCAGGGACCTGTACATCCCAGCTACTTGGGATGCTGAGGCAGGAGGATCACTTGAGCTCAGGAGTTTTAGGCTGCAGTGAGTGATAATGATGCCACTGCAGTCTAGCCTGGGCAACAGAGGGATACTGCTTTAAAAAAAAGAGCTGTGCAACCATCAGCACCATCCATCTCCGGAACTTTTTCATCTTGCAACACTGAAACTCTGCCCCATTAAACAACAACTCCTCATTTTCCCATCCCCACCCACTCCCCTGGCAACCATCATTCTACATTCTGTCTGTGATTCTGACAGCTCTAAAAACCTCATATAAGTGGACACATATAATAATGTTTGTCCGTTGGTGACAAGGTTTATCCATGTGGTAGCCAGTGTCAGAACTTCCTTCCCTTTTATGTACCGGAATAATATTCCGTTGCATGTATACACCACACGTTGTTTATCTCCACATCTACATGTAGATCTTGGTTGTGTCCACTTTTTCCCTATTGTGAGGAATGTTGCCATGAACATGGCCATAGGCATACCCGTTTGAGACCCTGCTTTCATTTCTTTTGTGTATATACCCAGCAGAGGAATTGCTGGATCAGACAGTAATTCTGTTTCACTTTTTTGTGAAACTCACATGCCGTTTTTCATAGCAGTTGCAACAATTTTTTTTTTTTTTTTTGAGGCAGAGCCTCAAGCTGTCACCCTGGGTAGAGTGCCCTGGCATCACAGATCACAGCAACCTCCAACTCCTGGGCTCAGGCGAGTCTCCTGCCTCCTCCTCCCAAGCTGAACTGCAGCTGCAACAATTTTATATTCCTACTAACGGGCTCCATACCTACAGCACAGTGGTTATGGCGCCAGCCACATATCCCGAGGCTAGCGGTTCAAACCCAGCCTGAGCAGCTAAACACCAATGACAACTGCAACAAAAATAGCTGAGCATTGTGGTGGATGCCTGTAGTCCCAGCCACTTGGGAGACTGAGGCATGAGAATCACTTAAGCCCAAGAGTGTGAGGTTGCTGTGAGCTGTGATGCCATGGCAGTCTACCGAGGGCAACATAGGGAGACTCTGGCTCAAATAATAATAATAATAATGTATTCCCACTAACAGGGCACAGGGTTCCAGTTCCTCTGTGTCTTCACCAACACTTATTATTTTCTGTATATTTTCTGTATCCACAGGGCTGTCCAGAAAGCATCCAACCATTATTAATATAATAAATGCCTCTATTTTTCTTATGCGGCTGGATACTTCCCAGAGAGCCGTTGTGTGTGTGTATGCACGTGTATTTTTTTCAATACATGCATACACACAGGGTGTCTATAAAGTTCATGTGCAATTCACACGAACTTTATAGGAACCTGTGTGTATAAAATAGCCACCCTTATGGGTATGAGGTGGTATCTCATTGTGGTTTTGGTTTGCATTTCTCCAATAATTAGCAAGGTGAAACATCTTTTCATATCTTATTGACCGTTTGAATATCTCTTTCTAGAGTCGTCTATCCAAGTTCTTTGCCCTTCTGTTACGGGGTTGTCTGCACCTTCCTATCTCATCAGATTCTCACAGCGACATGGTGTGTGCTTGGTTACCCTGTGTTCACAGAGGGAGAGAAATTGAGGGTCAGAGGAACAAAGCAACTTGAGATACCCAGCCAGGGAGAGTCCCTACATCTGTCTGAATGTCGCTTATTCATCTTATTTCTTCCAGATCATATCCTGTCCGTCACCCATGAGAGAGACAGGGCTGGATGGACTTTGACAATCCTGACTACAAGAGGTTCTCCAGTTTCCAAAATGGGCTTAGGAAACAGCGGTTCGTCCTTCTTGGTGCTTCCTCCTGGCCCCAGCCAAGGGCTTTGGGTATCTGGAGCTAAAGGAAATTCTACTGGAGATAAACAAAGGCCACTCATGACAAGATGTCCATGGCAGGGACAGGAAATAATGACAATAACCTGGAGGGCACAGGCATTGTTATTGTCTTGGCAGACAGAGCTAGCTATGTCCAGGAACTCCAGGAGAGTGGGCTGAGCCCATAGGGAACTAAAGAGCTCGGGGAGTTTAGGATCAGGGAAACTGATCCCCACTTCCTCTTCTTCCTGGACTCAGAGCTTGGCTATGTTTCCCAGCATTCCTTGCAGTCAGGGTGGCCATGTGACTGAATTCCACCAATGGCACCTGGGTGGAATAGATAAGCACCTCTTCCTGATCTGGCTCATAACACCTTCGTGGCCCTCCCTTCTTCACTTTCCCCATCTGCTTTCCCCGAAGAAGAGCAGTTCGAGCCCTAGGTGAAGGTGGAGCCATAATAAGGAAGGTGCCTGGACCCCTGAATGACCATGTGGAAGCTTCAGGAATGCTTCATTCAGCTTCATTTGAGATGAAAAATACTTCCATTGAATTGACCCACCGAGATTTTGGTGGTGGTTGTTGTTTTTGAGACAGAGTCTCTCTCTCTGTTGCCTGAGCTAGAGTATCATGGCATCAGACTAGCTCTTAGCAACAACCACAAACTTCTGGGCTCAAGTGATCCTCCTGCCCCAGCCTCCCAAGCAGCTGGACTATAGGCACCCACCACGACAGCTGGTCAATTTTGTTTTTCTATTTTTTTTTTTTTTTTGAAACAGGGTCTCACCCTGGCACCCTCAGCTCACAGCAACCTCAAGTTCTTGGGCTCAGGAGAAGAGTTTTGCCTCAGTTTTTCTATTTTTTAGTGGAGACAGAATCTAACTCTTGCTCAGGCTGGTCTTGAACTTGTGAGCTCAGGCAATCAATCCACCTGCCTCAGCCTCCTAGAGTGCTAGGGTTACAGACATGAGCCACTGTGCCCAGCCCCTTCAGACCCTTTAAAATCCCCATCCACCTTAACCCACGTGCTGACTTCCTTCTTGAGCTCAGCTCACCCGCACCCGGGTGGAATAGAGGCCGACATTGCCCACACAGAACCTGGACTCCATTTCCTTTCATTTCATGTTTTGGAATAATATTTTATTTTCAGTCTTTGACCTCTCAAAGACAGTCTGCACCCAGGATTCCCTTACATAACTGTACCCCCTCCCCTGCATAAGCTCCCCACCACAGCCATCTGCCTCCCCCCACAATCAGGGCCAGGAAAGTTCCCCCTTGTCCCCCTCCCCCCTTCCTAAAATCCTTCCATTCATCCACAAGGCCTCGTGAGTATTTCATATGCAAATGCTAGAGCTTATAATACCAACTGAAGGGTAGTCTTGGCAAGGATTAGTTTATCAGCTATTTAGGGAAGGAGGTGGGGGAAGTGAATAGGGAGGAGCATTCTGAAGGCCTGGGTGTTGGAGGCAGGAGGACCACCAAAAGCCCCAGGAAAGAAGAGTAAAGAGACCCAATGTGTAGTTAAAATGGGGAAGAAAAGTGAATCTGGGCAGACTGGGGGCTTCACAGTTGACCCAGATGGCCCCTTTCTACTGAGTGGCCTTGAGTCTGTGCTGATATGTAACTGCCTTTTGCAGGTAGGGAAGGGGAAGGAGAAGGGGAAGGGGAAGGTCATTAGGTTAATTGGTTCAGTCTGCATGTGCTGCTGGGCTAATTCTGAACCGGCTCCCATGGTCTGTGCTGGAGGCCAAGAGTCAAGAGTAACTCAAATGGGAACCTTGGTCCAACCATCGGGGCTAGCGGACAAGCTCCCAAGTCCCAAGAATCTGAGTAGACAGTGACTAACGCTGTTAAAAGGGGACAGAGGGCAGAGTCTAAAATGTGAAGCTAAATTCCTGGCTGCTTGGGCTGATCAATACCCTGGGGAGGTTCTATACATGCAGGAGGTAGAAAGGACATTTTGAGTGTCAGCAGCATCTTGGGCAAAAACTCAGAAGTGGAAATACAGGGAGTGGATTTGGAGAACAGGGAGCCCAACATGCTTGCAGGGAAGGGGGCAAGGCTAGAGACAGGGATGGGACCCAGACCTGGAGGGCCAGGGTGCCAGGCCCAGGAGCTCTGGCCACAGCTTAGGGGAGGGGGGAGCCACGGAAGGATGTTGAGCAGGGGAGTGGCTGACTAGAACATGGATCCTCTGGCTGTAGGGGGCAGAGGTTGGGTTGGAGGGGTGAGAAGAGAGATAAGAGTGACAGTGTGGAGGACTAACTGGGGGTGACAGCTGCAGGGATGGAGATCAGGATTGCAGAGTTGTTGCCACAGGCTTCTGTGGGGGAGCAGCTGTAATGAATGGCAGGGAGGTGGGGCTCCTCGAGCCTTCCTGAAGGAATCAAGGCCACCGTCTTCAGAGCAGGCCCTCTTCTCATCAGTCCAGCCTCTTGATAATCTTCTTCACCCAGGGCAGCCAGGGGTCAGCACAAATCTCTCGGTTCCTGGTTGTTACCAAGCTGCAAGGAGAAGACCCCAGGGAGAAAATGCAGCAGCATTTACAGGCAGCAAGGTTGCCACCCACCCCCACCCCCGGGAGTTTAGCATTTATGAACCGCCTCATGTATGCAGAGCTGAGTTTTTATGAGTCACCTGTTGCATGTGGGAGTACCACTGTATAGTCATTCAAAATTAAGAGCCCACCTACTGTATGCAAAAAATATTTCTCAAGAGGGACATGAACAGCAAGGACTTTCAGAACTCTCAGCTCCATAGACCCAGCCTTGAGTGCCAGGTCAGGCCATGGAATAGAATCCCCAAGAGTCTTATAATATCTCTGACATTGCCTTGGGAAAGAAAATGGCCAAGGGCTTGGCACCTGTAGCTCGGTGGCTAAGGCGCCAGCCACATACACCGGGGTTGGTGGGTTCGAACATGGCCCGGGCCTGCCAAACAACAATGACAACTACAACAACAAAAATAGGTGGGCATTGTGGCAGGCACCTGTAGTCCCAGCTACTTGGGAGGCTGAGGCAAGAGAATCGCTTAAGCCCAAGAGTTTGAGGTTGCTGTGAGCTGTG